TTCGCACTCACACCTCTGATGCCCACCTTCATGACTTCTCTAGGGCTGCACAGTTCCTGTGGACCTCCCTTGCCCTCTCTGTTAGACTTTTACAGAGTCTCTACTTCTCAAAAAAACCATTGAAAACTGACTTCTTTAGGAAGTCGTATCAATTATACTTTTAGCAGCATCTCTGTGAGTGTGATATTTAACGCAATGTTTGTTCAAATAGTGAGCACTACGAGGACAAGCGTGCATCATCCACGCTGTATTAACCTCTATCTGACATCATTCTACACTCACGTGCTACGAAAAATATACTCTTTGTGTACAGAATATCACATCGATTCATCTTTTCTGGAAGTTCCCTGACACAGAGATTTGAAAGGTTTATTGAATAATCGTGTTAACCTTGAGCATTTTAAATGAAACTGCAAATTTTAGAACCCCCAAAAATTAGCTGGTAAAAAATCTCCAATTTTGCAAATTTTCCAGCTTGGTTATTTTTGTCTAAAATTTGAAATTCCCTGGACAATGCTTCCCAGTTCCTGTTTTGGATCTAATCAGTACATTAACTCCTGGCACCATCTCTGCTGGGCTGCCTATCTCTGTATCCATCAGCACAGAGAAACCAACTCAGCTTCCTCCAACCGGGAAACCCATCCCATTGGGCATTGACAGCTAATTAACCTCTTCCTGCCAGAGACCGTTCTAGCTGGTGGAATATGTGGAGGGGAAATAGCTGAGTCTTAATTAACTGCTTCAGTGAGAGCCATAACTCTTTCCAATGGGATTCAGCATACGTGGCACGCGCTCTTTATTACACTCGTGGACAGAATAGTAGGAATTAATTAAGGAAGCGGTAAGCAGGCTTCGGGGGTTGGACAGCAACATGATATTGGGCAGTGAATCTCACCCTGGTGGCCGTACCAACCCTGGCTCTAACATTATAGAATTGTCTCCAGATACAAATCTAGTTTGTAGGACATTAAGAGAGGACATGATCAGTCAGAAGGAAAGAGACAGAGAGAATGAAAGATTGAAGGGAGAGAGAGAGAAAGGAGAGGGATTGGGGAAAAGAAAGAGGAGAGAAACAGCAAGATTGGGGAAGAGAGGGAGACATCTGAAGAGAAAGAGCAAGAAAGTGATGAAGAGAGAAGGTGTGACGGGAAACACAGCGGTAAATGGAGAGACGGTATGAGCTGAGTACGTAGGACAGACTGACAGATGGAGAGAGGGTAAAAACGCTAGAAAGAGAGAAGTGAGAGACAGTATGTGAGTGCCAAGGAGAAACAGTGATAGATGGAGTGACAGCGTGAGAGTGCCAGGCAGAGACAGAGATAGATTGAGAGACAGAGTGAGAGTGCAAGGAAGAGGCAGAGATAGATTGAGAGACAGGGTGAGAGTGCCAGACAGAGATAGATTGAGAGACAGAGTGAGAGTGCAAGGAAGAGGCAGAGATAGATTGAGAGACAGTGAGAGTGCCAGGGAGAGACAGAGATAGATTGAGAGACAGAGTGAGAGTGCCAAGGAGAGACAGAGATAGATTGAGAGACAGAGTGAGAGTGCAAGGAAGAGGCAGAGATAGATTGAGAGTGCCAGACAGAGATAGATTGAGAGACAGAGTGAGAGTGCAAGGAAGAGGCAGAGATAGATTGAGAGACAGTGAGAGTGCCAGGGAGAGACAGAGATAGATTGAGAGACAGAGTGAGAGTGCCAAGGAGAGACAGAGATAGATTGAGAGACAGAGTGAGAGTGCAAGGAAGAGGCAGAGATAGATTGAGAGACAGTGAGAGTGCCAGGGAGAGACAGAGATAGATTGAGAGACAGAGTGATAGTGTCAGGGAGAGACAGAGATAGACTGAGAGACAGAGTGAGAGTGCCAGGGAGAGACAGAGATAGATTGAGAGACAGAGTGATAGTGTCAGGGAGAGACAGAGATAGACTGAGAGACAGAGTGAGAGTGCCTGGGAGAGACAGAGATAGATTGAGAGACAGAGTGAGAGTGCCTGGGAGAGACATAGATAGACTGAGAGACAGAATGAGAGTGCCTGGGAGAGAGACATAGATAGACTGAGAGACAGAGTGAGAGTGCCAGGGAGAGACAGAGATAGATTGAAAGACAGAGTGAGAGTGCCAGGAAGAGACAGAGTGAGAGCGCCAGGGAGAGACAGAGTGAGAGCGCCAGGGAGAGACAGAGTGAGAGTGCCAGGAAGAGACAGAGAGAGATTGAGAGTGAGAGTGCCTGTAAGACACAATGAGCTAGGTTGAGTGACAACATGAGAGTGCAATACAGAATACCGTCTACCTTTGTAATATAAAATACACTATGTAACTGTAATATAGAATATACCGTGTACCTGTATAATATAGAATACATTGGCTACCTGTGTAATATAGAATACACCGTATACCTGTGTAATATAGAATACATCATGTGCCTGTGTGATATAGAATACACTATGTGCCTGTGTAATACAGAATATACCGTGTACCTGTGCAATATAGAATACACCTTATACCTGTGTAATATAGAATACATTGTATACCTGTGTAATATAGAATATACCGTAAACCTGTGTTATATGAAATACATTGTCTACCTGTGTAATATAGAATATATTGTGTACCTGTGTAATATAGAATATACAGTGTACATGTGTAATATAGAATATATTGTGTACATGTGTAATATAGAATACACTATGTACCTGTGTAATGTAGAATATATAGTGTACCTGTGTAATATAGAATATACGGTGTACATGTGTAATATAGAATACATCGTGTGCCTGTGTAATATAGAATATATTGTGTAACTGTGTAATATAGAATAAACAATGTTCTTGTGTAATGTAGAATACATTATGTACCTGTGTAATATAGAATATACTGAGTACCTGTGTGATATATTTAGTGTACCTGTGTGATATATTTAGTGTACCTGTGTGGTATATTTAGGGTACCTGTGCATATATTTAGGGTACCTGTGTGATATATTTAGGGTACCTGTGCGATATATTTAGGGTACCTGTGTGATATATTTAGGGTACTTGTGCGGTATATTTAGGGTACCTGTGCATATATTTAGGGTACCTGTGTGATATATTTAGGGTACCTGTGTGATATATTTAGGGTACTTGTGCGGTATATTTAGGGTACCTGTGCATATATTTAGGGTACCTGTGCGGTATATTTAGGGTACCTGTGCAATATATTTAGGGTACCTGTGCAATATATTTAGGGTACCTGTGTGATATATTTAGGGTACTTGTGCGGTATATTTAGGGTACCTGTGCATATATTTAGGGTACCTGTGTGATATATTTAGGGTACCTGTGCGGTATATTTAGGGTACCTGTGCAATATATTTAGGGTATATTTAGTGTTTCTCTTAGATATTATGGTAAATGCTTAGTGCAGAGTGCATTTATATAATTAAGAGCCAATGTTTTGTTTGTGAAAGACGAAGGCAGCCCTGGAGTGGAGGCAATTATAACAATTTAGATGAAGGAGGAGGGTGAGGGGGAATGTAAAGCGGATAAAGGGACAGATGTGTAACGAACGCTGAATGAAGGGAGAGTTTGGGAGGGGGACGGAGAGACTGAATCTATTGTAATCAGCCTGAATGAAGAAAGAACCAGCAGAAGGCATCAAGAAATGGGAGAGAATAGGGGATGGAGCAAAGGATGGAGACTGACAGACAAAGAGAGAGACAGGTGATGGATAGAGACAGACCGGAATAAGAGAGACAGGGGATGGATAAAGACAGACAGACAGATCTCCCACCTGCTCCTCTTCTGTCTTCCTCTGATACGAGATCACACACCCCAATACATGTCTGTCTGTCCTTTCACCCAGTAAGGGCTCCTGCTTGTTGTGAGGAAGGGTCTTTGGGAGTCTCAGTATCTGCGGAAAACCATCAACACCCAGCCTTCTCTCTGCTCTCCTTCACAGCTGTTGCGTCTCCAGCTCCTCTCTCTCTCTCTCTCTCCTCTCTCTCTCTTCTTCCCTCACTCTCTTTCGCTCTCTCTCATGCCTGTCTGGATTGCATTTTGCCTCCCCCCTTTTTCAGTCGCCTCCCTCCACTTGTTACCCACCTCCTCTGACTGCCGCTCTCAATCTACAGCTGTTTCTCTTCACTTCATTTCAGCACTGGGACAGCTCCACTCAAACCTCACTCACTACTGCAGCATTTACACACCTGCTGTCAGCTCACCAACCCCGTGCAAGGCAGAATGGGCTTCACGGAGTAACAGGAAGCGTTATAGTGAGGGTTATATGGAGTAATAGGAGGAGTTATAGGGAGGGTTATATGGAGTAATAGGAGGAGTTATAGGGAGGGTTATATGGAGTAATAGGAGGAGTTATAGGGAGGGTGATATGGAGTGATAGGAGGAGTTATAGAGAGGGTGATATGGAGTAATAGGAGGAGTTATAGAGAGGGTTATATGGAGTAATAGGAGGAGTTATAGTGAGGTTTATATGGAGTAATGGGAGGAGTTATACAGAGGATTATATGGAGTTATAGGGAGGGTTATATGGAGTAATAGGAGGGGTTATAGTGAGGATTATATGGAGTAATAGGAGGAGTTATAGGGTGGGTTATATGGAGTAATAGGAGGAGTTATGGGGAGGGTTATATGGAGTAATAGGAGGAGTTATAGGGAGCGTTATATGGAGTAATAGGAGGAGTTATAGGGACAGGTTATATGGAGTAATAGGAGGAATTATAAGGAGGGTTATATGGAGTAATAGGAGGAGTTATAGGGAAGGTTATATGGAGTAATAGGAGGAGTTATAGGGAGCGTTATATGGAGTAATAGGAAGAGTTATAGGGAGGGTTATAGGGAGTAATAGGAGGAGTTATAGGGAGGATTATATGGAGTAATAGGAGGAGTTATAGGGAGATTTCTAAGGAGTAATAGGAGGAGTTACAGGGAGGATTATATGGAGTAATAGAAGGAGTTATAGGGAGTAATATGAGGAGTTATAGGGAGGGTTATATGGAGGATATATAGAGTAATAGAGAGGGTTGGTATACATTAATAATATGTAGAGTTCTTGCTGTGGAAATGCACTGGTTTTGAATAGGGAGGAAATCTGCTCGTCTCGCTGACCCCCTGACCTCTCCCATACATTATGTAAAATTACAAAGCGAAGAGAGTGCGTTAGACTGCAGTAATCCGAGTCGAGGTAATGATATGCCCAAACTCTCCCGTTTCACTGACATATCTCCACATTATCTCTGCTCCATAGCAACATGTGGCGGCCAGGACTGAGACACTTATAGCCACAGCTTCCTGTTACAGACTCAGCAGGTACCCCCCAGAACTTCAACTCCCAGGCTGCTTAGCAGGAAGCCTCCAGAACCTTAGCTCCCAGGATGCTTTGCCAGCCTGTGACTGCTGGTGGATTCAAGTTTGTTATCCTCACGGTAGAGTTTTTATCACATCCCACGGCATCTCTGTTCGGCTGGGGATCTATTAAAAATCCACGTATATCAGTCTGGGGGGAATTCGACGGTTCCTGCTCTCCCGAAGGTTTCTGGCCTGTAATATAGAACACTATAAATGAGAAACCTGCCAACGGTGGGGATACTTATTAGTATTGTCTGTATCGCGGGAGGGGAGACTTGCCGTCAGTGCTCTGATTGGTTGTCTTCATAAAGACATATCCAGTTTAAAACTTCATTCTGCATGGATGGATTTTTGGTGTGTCAAATTTTTATTGTCTTTTTGCTGGTATGTTTGCAGTTTGGTCCTTTTCACTATTTTCATTAGCAGCATCGGGATATAATGGATTTGGGGTGGCTGAAGAAAGGAAGACATCTGATGGTAAGTAGAATTTTTGTTACAGGTTCCTATATTTATTCCCCCTTTCCCATGGGGTGGAGTAAGGGGTAGGCAGGATTTTTTTGGGGGGAGAACCCGAAGTTCCAACAGTGGTATATCTACCCCATTGTCGTATCTTTTATTATTAGCCCACATATCTCCCGCCCACTGGGCATGGAGGGTGCAGTAGCCTGTCCACCTCCCATTATATCATTTGGGTTTCCCCAGCATGTTATTTTGCAGGGCCCATGGGATGGGGATTTTGTAGCGACTGGGCAGCTAGTACTTAGTTACTGTTTAGTAAGTCCTCCGACCCCAACCGAAACATGGCACATAGGAGGTGGATATGGCCATAATATCCCCACTATGCTTATTTTTTATTTATTTTTAAAAACAGAATTAACCCTATGCAGTGCCAACATTTTTTTTAAAAACTATTTTCCCAATGATTCCCAAAACTGCAAATTGTTTGGATTTTTAAAATTTGGCCCGAATTTCAGTCATCTGGCGACGTTTGAGACGGCTGAATTTGTTCAGAACCCAGACATTGTTAAATAGCATGAACGCTGGATTTTGCAATCCAAATGGACTTTAGTGAATAATCCTGATTGACAGCATTTCAATATACTGTATTCACATTTGCAATCACTGTTAACTGATGGTTCGTTAAGCACATTTTGCCAATTATTTCCATTTCACACGCAAAGGACCTTCGTTCCGTGTATATATTTTACCATTTATTACTTAATATGACACTTTGTAAGCTAACAAAGAGAACTAAATAAAAGCTGCACACATATACAGTTGCAATAAAAATCATGCAACCCCATTGAAAATCAAGGTGATTGTCAAAATGTACAGAACAAACAAAACAAAAGCAATTGAAAGAGCTCAACACAACAAATAATTCAACTGGTTTCCCCAAATTCAACTGAAAATGCAACTTATAGTGATTTCTCCAGTCTCAAAATTATTCAACCCCTGACTAGAATCCCTCACAACAGCACAAATATGCAAAACAGCTATTGTGGGGGGCAGAGCCGAACCAGCGAGCAAGCTAGACGCGTCTTACATGAGCTCCCGCGACACAGAGACAAAACCGTAGATTTTCCGGGCTGGAGGCCTGGAATCTAGGGACCAAAGAGCCCTACTAATGGGGGTAATCACCCCGCTACTTCCGACATCGGAGCAGATGGCCTTAGAGCCCGGGAACCACGGCAGTAAGTTGCGGCCTACCAGAGACGGCGTCGGGGAAAGGCCACCGTTTTCCTTCTGCAGACCCAAGATGAAACTGTGCGAGACTTAACGACTCCCCTCTCCCCCCATGGACCGGTGGGGTTTATCTCGGTCCCCGTTGATCTGACCTACTACAGCCTAATGCGTTTCAGCGGACCCTGTACTATTCCTGCAGTGAAGGGAGCAGAGGGAACAAAGATGGAGGACGCACAAGGCCCCACCACACACGGCCAGAAACTGTCACAGCCAGACTCAGCAGGCACCAGCCACAAAGCGAAAGACACCCTCAATGAGATATTCGAGAGATTCTGGGCAAAGCTGTTAAACTGCAAAAGGCAAGCGAGCAAAAGATGGCGCAAGAGGAGGCTTGGGAAACCTCTCGAGGGCACAAACTTGTCCCCAGCTTCCACACACGACTCAAGCAGCACATCTGCCCTCAAGTACCAGCCACACGCACGGAGGGCTAAAGGACGCAAGCAGAGACCCTCACAGACAAAATTTAATACCCACCGCGCACACCCAAAGGGAAAGACCCTAGACCTCAACAGACTCCAGGTTAGTAGCAAACAGGTACCGGCTCTCACACAACCCCGGGGCTTGAGGGGCGCTCTGCCTTCACACTGCTGCAGTGCTCCCCAATGCGGAATGAGCACACAGGTAAGCAGAGACACCCGTAGGGGAATCGGATGATTGCCGGGAGTAGTAACTAGAGTGGCAGAACTGGCTTCCCGCACCCTCTGCCCAAACCTGCCTACACAGGTCTCTGATACCAAGCTATACCGACAACGGCATCGGGTCAGACGGAATACCAAAGCAACCTGTCTAGAGACTTAACATATATTGAATAATCATTACCTTACGCTTCCAGCATGCTACCAATATGGCTTCGCTTAGCATTTAGTCACAGTCATGTCAACCCACACACGCTGATCTCATACGTGCACAAGCACACTCAACATGTCTGTGTTCTAGAGTCATCCCATGTTAATCTTGTTATAATATAAAAAATGGTGCACAATAATGCTAATACCCCAATTGTATTGCATGATATCGCGCTTGAGGATTGCCTTTGGGGTACCTCAGACTTGTATGTACAAGTAGTATGCACCGCAAAAATATAAAAAAAAATAAAAAAAACAACAAAACAAAACAGGTGTCTCAAGCACACCTGATGCAACTAATCAAGGGCTTCATTAGTTGCACCACGTGTGCTTGAGCAGGAACACTTGAAATAGCTGAATTGGCTAGGGGTTTGTAGAGTGTAAAGTTTGACTGCATGTTAGAAATAAGTCAAAAGAATTGTCCACAAAGTTAAGAGAAGAGATTATTGAGACTGGAGCAGTCATAAATTGCATTTTCAGCTGAATTTGGGGAAACCACTCAAAGCATTTGTTGTATTAAGCTATTTCAATTGCTTTTCTTTGATTTGTTCATTGCAAACAGCTGAAAATATAAAAAAAAAATAACAACGATATTCAATGGGGGTTGCATAAGTTTGATTGCAACTGTAGTATAGTTTAATGACTTAATTAACACACCACCTAAATAATGGGATAACCCCTAGAGTAACTTACTGATAAGTGAGATGTCAAAGGCAAAAATACAATTTTTAAATATAACCTTTAATTTTTCAATTTATAAAAGATGATTGATCTCAGAAATCCGGATGCCTGACATTTATCCCCCCCCAAAAAAATATATATATAAATGCCAATATTACTCTGTAACACTAAACTAGAATCCTTTAAAAAGATAAATGATAAAGGTAATCTACTACTCACCGGAATTAAAGCCAATATAACGCAGTTATAGGAAAGCATTGGGAGGCTATATTGCAAAACGCGAGGAATGGTATTTAAACAATTCTGGATTAGTGGAATGCACTGTTACGTTAATATCCCCTGCATCCCCCATCATGGTCTAAATCAAAGAGTAAGTTTATGTAAAATCAATGACATATATTAATATATTGTAAATTAAACTGTTTATACAGTGAGTGGTAGTGGTACATCGGTAATGTAAAGAGCAGATCTTACCTAACTGGTGATATTACTGAAAATTAATCTATTGTAAATGCCACTTGATATGCAACAAAATAATGGATAATTAGTTATTTTATCTGTACAGTTCTTATAGGTAACAGGCAAGACACAATGGGACTGTTCTATTAGCACTCCTCAATAATAATACATTATATGATGAAATTAATATCATGTACTTTTTTATTGGACCAACAGAATTTAGAAATATCAAGCTTTCAAGAGAACCTCCCTTTCTCAAGTCTAAAGTATTTCTCTCTCTCTCTCTCTCTATCTATATATATATATATTATTTTTTTTTCCTTTGTCCTTCTTGCCAATACTTATTGGTTGTCAGTATCCAAAGTGGTGTTTCAGGTTAATTAATTAATGTAGAGCTTTGTGACGGCTTGTAGAGTTAACCAATAGTGCTAGTTTTTGGATGAAATATACATTTGAAATTGTAATCTTCGGAGCAATGTTTGACTTAAAGAAGACCCTCGCTCTTACTATCACCTTATTTTATGACAATGACATTTTTCTCAAATAACATTTTCTGCATGTATTTTTTTTGTGAGGTTAAATGATTTGGGGTTGAGCGCCTCTTATATATGTTTATGGTGAAAGTTGGAATTAGTGAATGGTTTTCTGTAGGCGGTGGCAGAAATTAAAAGGTATTGCCTGGTGTCTAATGAAATATTATAACTATTTAACCTGCTGACGAAGCTGTAGATCAGAATTACCCCAGAGATCTGGCAAATAATTGACTCTGACAGGTAGGAAGAACTCTGCCAGGTAAGACTTCATTTATTTTCCAGAATATTGTCTTAGAGACAGGGCGTGATATCACTCTGACGTCATGCTGCTAAACCATTCTAAACCAGGGAGGGGAATTCTGACACAGAGCAAGCCACGTGTCCCCATGTCCCCCAGTGTCCCCATGTCTGTGTCTCCCAGGATCCCTCTAGTGTCCCCATGTCTCCCAGTTTCCACATGCCTAATAGTGTCTCAGTGTCCCCATGTCTCTCCTAGTGTCTCAGTTTCCCCAGGTCCCCTAGTCTCCCAATGTGTGTTCCCATGTCTCCCAGTTTCCACATGCCTAATAGTGTTTCAGTGCCTCTCCTGTCTCTCCTAGTGTCTCAGTGTCTCCATGTCTGTGTCTCCCAGGATCCCTCTAGTGTCCCCATGCCTCCCAGTTTCCACATTCCTAATAGTGTCTCAGTGTCCCCATGTCTACCCTAGTGTCTCAGTGTCCCCAGGTCTCCCAATGTGTGTCCCCATGTCTCCCAGATTCCACATGCATCACAGTGTTTCAGTGTCCCCTTGTGGGGAAGTTGGAGGTCCCTAGTGGGGAAGTGGGTGTGTTTCCCTGGTCGGAAAGTGGGAAGGTTCACAGGTAAGGAAGTGGTAGTGTCCCTGGTGGAAAGGTAGGTTGCCTGGTCTGGAAGGTGGGAAGTTCCCTGGTGGGGAAGTGGGTAGGTTTCTATGGTGGGAAGTTTGCCTGGTGGGGAAGTTGAAAGGTACCCTGGTCGGAAAGTAGGGAGGTTCCCAGGTAAGGAAGTGAGTAGGTGGATAGCTAGGTAGGTTTCCTGTTAGGAAAGTAGGGGGGTTTCCTGGTAGGGAAAGTGGGAAGTTGCTTGGTGGGAAGGTTCCCTGTTGGGAAGTTGGGGGGGCAGGGGGGATGAGATCTTTCTGTTGATCTTGTAAGTGAAGGACAGGAAATGCTTTTCTGCAGCCAAGAACAAGAAAAAGAGTTAATGCAACAAATGCCAGTGATTTATATCTTAAAGATCATCTCAGTGTCTTCAAAGTGACACGATCTGCAAAGTCAAAGCTTCACAGCAACATCCTTAGTGTGTTGCATGATTTGTACTATAAATGATTCAGTGATCTTGCATTTAATGTACAAGAGATACATTAAAGAGCAACAACTAGTAACCAGCTCGGATCCATCACAAAGCGAGTTCAAAAACAAACTACTATGGTTAGTCAAAATTACATGTATGATTAGTTTATTTACTTTAAAAAATTAAGACAGAACAATCAGGAGAAAACCTACAAATGGTGTTCATGATTACTGTTTACAACTGCAATAACTCCAGTTTTCTCTTCTGTACCATACTGCACTTTGTCTCAATAAAAGAAAGATTTAAAAAAACAAAACAACTAGTAACCAGTTGGGATTCGTTAAAAAAACAAACACTTAGTAAGCAGCTCAAAATCATCACCGAATTATTACCGAATTAGTTAGTGATTCTTTACAGGAATTGATGTCAAACATTGGTCCTTTAGGACCACATACACCCAGGAAGTGTTCAGCAGTGTTTATTGATTTACTAACAAATCTCCAGTGATACAGAGAGCAGGAGTTCCCCCTGCTAGGTGACTTTATACAATCTTTAATGACACAGAGAGCAGCAGCTCCTCGCTAGGTGACTTTATACAATCTCTAATGACACAGAGAGCAGGAGCTCCTCGCTAGGTGACTTTATACAATCTCTAATGACACAGAGAGCAGGAGCTCCTCGCTAGGTGACTTTATACAATCTCTAATGATACAGAGAGCAGGAGCTCCTCGCTAGGTGACTTTATACAATCTCTAATGACACAGAGAATAGGAGCTCCGCGCTAGGTGACTTTATACAATCTCTAATGACACAGAGAGCAGGAGCTCCTTGCTAGGTGACTTTATACAATCTCTAATGACAAAGAGAGCAGCAGCTCCTCGCTAGGTGACTTTATACAATCTCTAATGACACAGAGAGCAGGAGCTCCTCGCTAGGTGACTTTATACAATCTCTAATGACACAGAGAGCAGGAGCTCCTCGCTAGGTGACTTTATACAATCTCTAATGACACAGAGAGCAGGAGTTCCCCCTGCTAGGTGACTTTATACAATCTCTAATGACACAGAGAGCAGGAGCTCCTCGCTAGGTGACTTTATACAATCTCTAATGACACAGAGAGTAGGAGCTCCTCGCTAGGTGACTTTATACAATCTCTAATGACACAGAGAATAGGAGCTCCTTGCTAGGTGACTTTATACAATCTCTAATGACACAGAGAGCAGGAGCTCCTCGCTAGGTGACTTTATACAATCTCTAATGACACAGAGAGCAGGAGCTCCTCGCTAGGTGACTTTATACAATCTCTAATGACACATAGAGCAGGAGCTCCTCGCTAGGTGACTTTAGGAGCTCCTTGCTAGGTGACTTTATACAATCTCTAATGACACAGAGAATAGGAGCTCCGTGCTAGGTGACTTTATACAATCTCTAATGACACAGAGAGCAGGAGCTCCTCGCTAGGTGACTTTATACAATCTCTAATGACAGAGAGCAGGAGCTCCTCGCTAGGTGACTTTATACAATCTCTAATGACACAGAGAGTAGGAGCTCCTCGCTAGGTGACTTTATACAATCTCTAATGACACAGAGAGCGGGAGCTCCTCGCTAGGTGACTTTATACAATCTCTAATGATACAGAGAGCAGGAGCTCCTTGCTAGGTGACTTTATACAATCTCTAATGACACAGAGAATAGGAGCTCCTCGCTAGGTGACTTTATACAATCTCTAATGACACAGAGAGCAGGAGCTCCTTGCTAGGTGAATTTATACAATCTCTAATGACACAGAGGGCAGCAGCTCCGTGCTAGGTGACTTTATACAATCTCTAATGACACAGAGAGCAGCAGCTCCGTGCTAGGTGACTTTATACAATCTCTAATGACACAGAGAGCAGGAGCTCCTCGCTAGGTGACTTTATACAATCTCCAGTGACACAGAGAGCAGGAGTTCCCCCTGCTAGGTGACTTTATACAATCTCTAATGACACAGAGAGCAGGAGCTCCGCGCTTGGTGACTTTATACAATCTCTAATGACACAGAGAGCAGGAGCTCCGCGCTTGGTGACTTTATACAATCTCTAATGACACAGAGAGCAGGAGCTCCGCGCTTGGTGACTTTATACAATCTCTAATGACACAGAGAGCAGGAGCTCCCCCTGCTAGGTGATTTGTGTACAATCTCTAATGATACACAGAGCAGGAGCTCCTCGCTAGGTGACTTTATACAATCTCTAATGACACAGAGAGTAGGAGCTCCTCGCTAGGTGACTTTATACAATCTCTAATGATACAGAGAGCAGGAGCTCCGCGCTTGGTGACTTTATACAATCTCTAATGATACAGAGAGCAGGAGCTCCGCGCTTGGTGACTTTATACAATCTCTAATGACACAGAGAGCAGGAGCTCCGCGCTTGGTGACTTTATACAATCTCTAATGACACAGAGAGCAGGAGCTCCCCCTGCTAGGTGATTTGTGTACAGTCTCTAATGATACACAGAGCAGGAGCTCCTCGCTAGGTGACTTTATACAATCTCTAATGACACAGAGAGTAGGAGCTCCTCGCTAGGTGACTTTATACAATCTCTAATGATACAGAGAGCAGGAGCTCCGCGCTTGGTGACTTTATACAATCTCTAATGATACAGAGAGCAGGAGCTCCGCGCTAGGTGACTTTATACAATCTCCTAATGACACAGAGGCGGGGGCTCCTACTTCGTGACTTGCCACAATCTCCTAATGACACACAGAGAGCGGGCTCCTGGCTAGGTGACTTTATACAATCTCTAATGACACAGAGAGCAGGAGCTCCTCGCTAGGTGACTTTATACAATCTCTAATGATACAGAGAGCAGGAGCTCCTCGCTAGGTGACTTTATACAATCTCTAATGACACAGAGAATAGGAGCTCCGCGCTAGGTGACTTTATACAATCTCTAATGACACAGAGAGCAGGAGCTCCTTGCTAGGTGACTTTATACAATCTCTAATGACAAAGAGAGCAGCAGCTCCTCGCTAGGTGACTTTATACAATCTCTAATGACACAGAGAGCAAGAGCTCCGCGCTAGGTGACTTTATACAATCTCTACTGACACAGAGAGCAGGAGCTCCTCGCTAGGTGACTTTATACAATCTCTAATGACACAGAGAGTAGGAGCTCCTCGCTAGGTGACTTTATACAATCTCTAATGACACAGAGAATAGGAGCTCCTTGCTAGGTGACTTTATACAATCTCTAATGACACAGAGAGCAGGAGCTCCTCGCTAGGTGACTTTATACAATCTCTAATGACACAGAGAGCAGGAGCTCCGCGCTAGGTGACTTTATACAATCTCTAATGACACAGAGAGCAGGAGCTCCGCGCTAGGTGACTTTATACAATCTCTAATGACACAGAGAGCAGGAGCTC